TGCACACTCCCTACTGGGGATGTACCCACAACCAAGGTACATGCCCTTGACCGGAATCAAACCTGGGACCCTTCAGTCTGCAGGCCGACGCTCTATCCACTGAGCCAAACCGGTCAGGGCCATAAAGGATTTTTAAAATCATCTGATAAAATCAAGAATAATTTCAAAATGTTTAGAAAAAAACTAAGAGGAATGAAGAGGGCCTATCTGTTAAGATATTACATTATGTCTTACAGGCACAGGAATTAAATTTGTGAATATTGATACAAGATGCAATGAAATAGTCCAGAGTATATCCTAGACTAGTGGTCAGCAAACTCATTAGTCAACAGAGCCAAATATCAACAGTACAACGATTGAAATTTCTTTTGAGAGCCAAATTTTTTAAACTTAAACTATATAGGTAGGTACATTGTTATTAACTTAATTAGGGTACTCCTAAGGCTTAGGAAGAGCCACACTCAAGGGGCCAAAGAGCCGGGTGTGGCTCGCGAGCCGCAGTTTGCCGACCACGGTCCTAGACTATATTAAAATTAAACTATTTGTTTTATGATTTGCACCCACCTCTCCCCTCTGATTGTGAAAAGATCACTTCTTAGTACTTGGTGTTGGGACAAAGTCTCACTTCTTCCTTTGGGGAGGAGAGAATGGAATTTGAATCCCCGTTCATTCACTATTTAGTCAACAAATAATTTTGTTGAAGGAAGAGCTGCACTATAGTAAGAATAAGGGAGGAAAGTTCCCCGCTCTCATGGAGTTTGCCTCCTGTTGGAGGGAACAGCAGAGGAACATGGACATACATCGGGGGAAGATGTCAGGTGATGACAAGGGCTAAGAAGAAGAGTAAGTAGAGGCCATGACAGCGGTGAGTTGGAAGGAGGCTGAGTCCTGGATGGTGTGACCAAGTGTCTCTGAGACCGAGACCTGGAGGACAAGGAGGAAAAAGTCAAGCGAAGACCTAAAGGACAGGCTTATCAGGCAGAGGAACACATGCAAGGCCTTGCGGTGAAAATGACCTTGACAGCTTCAAGGAACAGGTTAAAGACCAGGGTGGCTGGAGCGAGGGGGCCAAGAGGAGAGTGATGGGGACGTGAGAGAGGGCAGGGGCCAGAGCAGGCAGGGCCACGCAAAGAATTTCGCTCTCTTCTGGTGAGAGGGGAAGCACCTGGAAAGGTTTCAGCGGAGGAGTGACAAGGGGGACCTTACACGTATCAAGTCACCCTGGCTGCCATGTGCCACCTCCTTTCCCGGTGATCGTGGAAGGTGGTTTCATGTCTTGTTGGGCTTCTTCAGAGCTGCGTGCGTGCCCCGGGGCACCCTGGTTACCACCAGCAGTGGGAAAACGTTTCCAGTCTGTTCGGGAACCATTTTTTTCTGAGGAATAGCCAACATACAAAAGCAAAATACATTGATGCCCACAGTCACCTCCTCAGCCAGGACAGGAAGCCCCACCTGCTCTACACCTGCCAGGCAAGGTCTGGTCGAAGGTCATGGCCCCGAGGCCCCTCCTCTCTGGTCCGCACCAGGTCCTGCAGTGGCCTTGCTCGGGTGGCCCACATCAACAACAGGGAGTCCACCCCGGAAGTGCAGGGCCATGCACAGACCAGTGGCTTTCTTTCTAGAGCTATACTGCAGATGGCACGTTTTAGAAAATGCATTTCTAGAATTACCATTTTAAAATGGTTTATTTCTTTCATAAGTGGCTTGACCATCAAAATGAGGATGAGCTAAGAAGCTACCCGAGGGGTCTGCTGTCTAACCGCCCTTACGCTTTGTTTCGGTTTATTACACATGCTAACTTAGTAGGTTCGTGCTCCACTTTCATCCCCTCTGTCTCGTCAAGTCCCTCTTCGGGACAGGAGTCTGTTGCTGGAGAGCGTGTTTTGACGGGCTGTAGAGGCGTTGCCAGAGCGCCTTCTGTTTCATGAGAATTGCAACATATTTGCATTGAATTTTTCTAGCAGATTTCTGTCAGCTATTTAGGAGGACATACGGGGTTTCTTGTCTCACCCTTGAAAAAGGGGAAAAAATACATGAGATCAGGGCATTTGGACACATGTCCTTGCCTGCTCTGGACATCTGGTAGCAGCCTTTCCTAGAGCCGGGACAGCACCTGTGGGCTGGGGCAGAAAGTGATGGTGTCACACTCAGAGCGGAATTTCTCGGAGACCTCATCCTTCTTCGCTCTGCGTGTCCTTGGCGGCCCAGGCCCGGGTGGGCTCCGAAGGGCTCGGCCCAGGAGCCTGTCATGGGTAGACCTCAGGCTCCGTGGTGCGGTTGGTCATTGCCAGACCATCGAGCTCATTCTGAGCCATGTCCCGTGGTGGAGGCTGCAGAACCACCCGAGGGCCCTTCTCTTGCTGACCTGCTGTTCTCTGGTCTGATTACTCAGCTCAGTTCTGTTCCATCATCACTTTCTACAGTCCATCGGGCCCCGGGAATTAGGCACGTAGAGGGGGGATATGACAGGTAGGGAGGAGTGTGGACTTTAGAGACCAATGTCTCCAGCACAGTATCTTCCTCACTGAGCCAGGGTCTCTCCACCTCCGAAGAGGGGATGAAAGCATCCACCGCGTGAGGCTGTCATGAGGGTTAAATGAAATGATGACGAGCCTGTCACACTGGGCGCAGGAGGGAGCCGCATTCACTCTACGCTGGCTTCCTTCTCTCCTCTCCGCTTCCCCTCCAAGGGTCACAGGAGCAGCATTCTGCAGGGAGAGGGCGTGGCCCCGAATGTATTTATGCAACTTTAATGGCTAAAGGGCTTTTCCCCTCCGCCTGGAGTTACTCCCAAAGGGCCAGCCCTTTGGGTGCCAATATGTCACTTGGGATGCCCACCGCCCCCTACTCGCCCCCGAAGGAACATCCCTTCATCGCCAGGCTGAAAGGAAGACCAGAGGGCCCCACACTTCCTCGTTTTTACTAAAGCCAACTATGAAGATTGTGCCCCCTGAACCCACTCGGGAAACTTGACATCAGAAATAATGGATGCAAGGGAGAGACTACACAGATGCCTCGAGGCTGCCCCGTTTGGGCATTTGGTCACCATTCTGTCCCTTGGGTTGTAAGAAAGGAACTTGGAAATATTACATTTTTCCTTATTTCAAAAGCCTAATGACCGTTCTTTCTCTCCTGGCATTTAAGCCTCCTTTCTTCCTTTCTTCCAGGTCGCTCTTCCCCCTGCAGCCCCCAGCACCGCTGTTCCCTTTCCAGAATAGCGTGCTCTCATCCTTCCATCCCCACTGCGGCCGCCCCACCCGGGCCCTTCTGACCTTTGACTCAAGCTGCAGTAATCATTTTCTGTGCTTTTCTCTGACAGTCAGAACCAGCTTTCTAAGGGGTAGGCTCCTCAGGCCGGCGTGTTGAGACCTGGGCTTTGAAATCAGGCGGGCCTGGGTGCAAATCCTGGCTCCTTCCCCCGACAAACCCCATCACTGCTCTAAGCCTCAGTTCCTCATCTGTAAGACTGAGTGAGCCTAGTACCTGTATCTGCGGCCAGGCAAATAAAGAAGGGATCCCAGAGCCCAGGCCTTTTCAGAGGGAACTGCACATGTGTCCTGCCCTTAATAAGATTGGTTGTTTAATTCGCATTTCTTTGATCACTTGATCCTGGTTACTGCCAGGGTTCACGGCTAGTCTCATTCCACTGTCTGTGGGGCCCTTGGCCACAGAGGCCTTTGGCCAACCTTCCTGGTCTGCGGTGGCCCCTTTTCCATCGCTGGTTTTCCCACACTCTCCCCTCTCCCTTATTAGGTGCCATGACACTGTCACATCAGACCCCTCCGATAATATCTGAAGGGAATGTCAGCTGCTGTGATAGAAAGCTCACTCTCGCTCTCAGACTGCGCTTGATTTTGCCATTCCCTCTGTGTCTCGGGGCTGTGAGCAACAGGGAAGAAAGGGCCCTTAACTTTTCCTTTCTCCCCCATACAGGGCTCCCTGCCGGCACCCCGAATCCCCACCAGCATTTTATCTGAACAGGCCAGGCAAATAAAGAAGGGATCCCAGAGCCCAGGCCTTTTCAGAGGGAACCGCACGTGACTTCAACAGATAGGAAATTATTTTTTTCCTATAACAAAGATGTTCAGGAGCAGGTAGTGAAGGATAATGCTACCTGGGCTTCAGCCTTTTTGATCCACGTTACTCAGCATTTTGGTATTTATCCTCACCTTTCTCATAACTGTACATCTCTGATCAAGTAGAAAGAAGTAGGGAAGGGGAGCATCAGCTGCATCTATTCACCTGTTAGAAAAAAGCTTTTCTAGAAACCTCCTCTGTAGGCTTTCTCTTCAGGCTCATTGGTCAAAACTATGTCACATGACTGCCCCTAGCTGCAAGGGAGGCTGAGAAATGGAGTATTTTTCTGTTCAGCCTCTATGCTGGAGGAGAGCCAGGAAGAATGGGCAGGAGAATAGGTGTGTGCGAGGTAACACACAGTGGCTAGCAAGACCCTGCAGAGGAACTCTTTTCCAATACGCTCATTGTACAGATGACCAAACTGAGTTTCAGAAATGGGTTATAACTTGGCCAAGGTCCTGTAACAAGATGAAGTTAGAGCCAGATGTAGAGACCAGGTCTCCTAACTCCCTGTCCAGAAAGCTGCCCACTGGACCACACCGTGGTTGTATTTGACAGAGTCTGTGACCGAAGCTCTGTGGAGGAAGTAGGATATCATCCAGAAAGTGAGGTGATGGATATAAAACTCTCAGCAGTGGGCAGAAGACATGGTAGCTTCCTCTTGAGCTTTCCTTCCTCCCTCCCGAAGATGCTGAGATAATTCAGCGTGAGTCCCAAAAGCCAGGCCAAGTCAAATCAGGCCTCCTCTGAGTCCCCCGCTGCTGTGTAGATTGCTTAGCTTCTCGTTCCTTTGGCACATTAACGTTTGTGTCTGTTATAATGGAAGCAATCTCATGACGAGCGCCATGATAATGTAGAATTTCCACGTCGTTGTTAATGTGCTGTTCTTGTCTTCTGTCTCCTTCTGTTATTGGGCCAAACAGAAGTATTCTGCTGTTTCTCTCTGCAACATCTCCACAGAAGTCCTGAAAGTCATCAATGCCACGGAGGAGTTGATAGCAGAGTCGACAGGGCCCTGGGAGTTCCCACCTGGCCCTCCTGACAGAGAGAAGGGGACATTTCCTCTTGGGACAGACCAAGTGAGACTGGATGAGCAGCTGACCTCCCTGGAAGAAAACGTAAGATGGTGTGGATGTACCTTGTCCGGGGCAAGCACGTGTGAAGCAGCAGCTGATGGAGTTATAACTCGTCACAAAGAGTGCAAGGACACACACATACACACCCCCACCACCAGAGCAAATACATTCCCAGGAAGGGTCTTGGGCCGGGGTCCTGCCTACAAGTGATTTGTTAGGGAAGTGCTCCCAGGATAGGCTAGTAAGGGAGGGAGGAAAGAAAGGGAGAGGGAAGAAGCCAGGTGAAGGTATGATCTTAGACAAAGAGTAGCTTCAATCTGCTCCTGCAGGGAGCTCGGGGATTTAAGTTGCCTCTCAGAGTTGTCTGACCTAAGACAAAGGAACGGGCCCTTCTACAGCCAGCAGGCTCTCCATTCTCTTCGTGTGCAGCAAGGTGTCTACAGTAGCCCAAGGACAGTCTTGTGTGTAGATTTGAGCTATTGGGAACAAAAGCACTGAAGCTTGGGGGTGGGGAGTGGGCATGGATGGGGCTATGCAGAGACTGTAAAAGGGATGTGTGGGGATCCAGGTAGAGCGTGGCCAGCGCCATTGTAGGAGATGAGAGTAGTTGCCCACAGAACTCAGGTTATGACAACTGGTCTGTCCTGCTTCTCAGATAAGTCTGCTGGGAATAGAGTTTTCTATCCTTCCAACTTGTGAGGACAGAAAGAATGTCATAGATTCTTACGTGTAAATATCCACAATCATTGCTGAGCATTTCCATAAAGGTCCAATGAGAATTTTCCAGCAACGCAGACCAGGGGCGACACAGAGCCCCATCACCAGCTGGCATAGTCCTGCCCACGAGACGGGTATCAAACCAAGTCAGCTGATTCCATCTTTGCAGACCCAGCTGACTGAACCCTGGTGTGGGGGTGCGCTAATGAATGCTGTTCACAGAAATCAGGAACTGTTCTTAGAGGGAATTTTTGCTAAAAGTTGAAACAACAAATCAAAATACCTCAAAGTTTTACCCCCCAAAAAGCCAATCTTTGTTTCACTTTAAAAATTGAAGATTTTCTCCCTTTGGATTCCCCTGAAACCTAAGTGTGTGTCAATCAAAGCGCTCGCCTCACTCTGCTGGACTTTTTGTCACCCATTTGTCTTCCCTTCGATCGGCATCATTGACACTTGGGGTTAGTAATTGTCTGTCATAAGGGGCTGTCCTACGCACTGTAGGATATTTAGTAGCATCTCTAGTCCCTCTCCGTTAGATGCCAGGAGCAGCACCCTCCTAGTTGTTTTTGTTTTTTTATTGATTTTTAGAGAGAGAGGGAAATGGGGAGGGATAGAGAAATGGAAACATCGATGAGAGGAACATCATCAATCAGCTGCCTCCTGCCGGGCCCCTCCTAGTTGTTTTTTTTAAATATATTTTTATTGATTTCAGAGAGGAAGTGAGGGGGGAGAGAGAGAAACATCAATGCTGAGAGAGAATTTCTGATCAGCTGCCTCCCTGCTGGGGATCGAGTCTGCAAACTGGGCATGTGCCCTTGACCAGAATTGAACCTGGGACCCTTCAGTCCGCAGGCTGACACTCTACCCACTGAGCCAAACCAGCTAGGACCCTCCTAGTTTTGACAATCAAAAATGTCTCCAGCCCGGCTGCTATTGCTCAGTGGTTGAGCATTGACCTATGAACCAGGAGGTCACTGTTTGGTTCCTGGTCAGGGCACATGCCCAGGTTGTGAGCTCGATCCCCAATAGGGGGCATGCAGAAGGCAGCTGATCAATGATTCTCTCTCATCATTGATGTTTCTATCTCTCGCTCCCTCTCCCTTCCTCTCTGAAATCAATAAAAAAATGTTTTTAAAAAAATGTCTCCAGACATTGTCAAATGTTGGAAGGGGCCATGTGGGGAGGCGGGGAGCACAATCACCCGCAGGTTGGGAACCAGACTTGTACATTCCTGTACACGGGCCTGCTGGCTCCATCTGTAGCTCTAGCCCTCGGCCACGGCCCTGCGCACACTGGAGGGGCCCAGAGAATGCTCATCTGAAGTAGGATTTCATCCGATGAATGGAGTCCTTTGTGAAGAAATGATTATGCCTAACGTGCAGGGCCTCCATTTCTTCACTGTGTCTGTCATTCAGTTCTTTCAGTGCTGACCGTCCCAAAATGGCCGGGACCCCGGACACACTGCACTGAAAAGGTTAAAGCAGTGGTTCTCAACCTTCTGGCCCTTTAAATACAGTTCCTCATGTTGTGACCCAACCCTAAAATTATTTTCGTTGCTACTTCATAACTGTAATGTTGCTACTGTTATGAATCATAATGTAAATATCTGATATGCAGGAAGGTCTTAGGCGACCCCTGTGAAAGGGTCTTTCGACCGCCAAAGGGATCACGACCCACAGATTGAGAACCGCTGGGTTAAAGTGAAGATATGTTTCACTGGGAAAGGGTTGCCTTTTTTTTTTTTTTTTTACAAAGTATGGTATAAAAAACACAACGTGTGAAGTAATCGGGATTTAAATGTTAATGGTCAGTCCCCGTGGCCCACTTAATGCAAAGAGAGCTCAGCAGCCTTTCTCTTCCCCAAGGAGCATGTTGAAGAATGTCCTTGTCGGAGTTTTTATAAGATCTTTTCATGGTGCGTTATGTTTCTCTCCTTGGGTTTGTTAACACTTTCGGTGTGAAACCCATCCTCTTATCCCCTGATCCAGGATGTCACCGATCCCCGCAGGGACAGGACGGAAGCTCACAGGCCAGGGTTTGTAAAGTACCGCTCCCCTGCCCAGCCCCTCCCCCGCCCCAGCTGCCTCTCCTGTCCCCAAAGAGTTAACTGCCTTCCTCCTCCTCCTCCCCATTCCCCCCTCCAGCTGCCAGTTTCACCTCAGAAGGAACTCTGTCTACGTTCCTTTGAATTTGAGGGGGTTTGAGTCCAAGAAGGGATGGCTTTTCTTTATCTCTTTAGTTCACTGATCACAGCGCCAGAACAGGCTGCTTGGCTCTGCGGGTTCCAGATGGAATTCATCGGAGCGAGCGGCGGCGGGAGAGGGCAGGGCTGCTTCTCAGGCTGGCCTCTGGGTGCAGCCGATTGCATTAAGCCGAGCTTTTGTCTGGCTCTTCTAAAGAGCGCCCCTCGGTCCTCCGCGCCTTCCCCTTTGTGCCGAGGAACCCGGGGACCGTCAGAAATAGAAACGGTGACACTTACTCTCGCCTTCTGAACGTCGGCTACCACAGACCAGGACTCCTAGATGAAAGAGATCGTTGGCTTAAGAATGTTTCGCCTTTAAAAATACCTCTGAAGGCTTCAGAGCTGCCTGAGATAAAAATGTCACATTCTGATGCCGAATCTCCTGTTTTCATAAACTGCCTCGCTCATCCATTTAATGAGAGGGAGGCATGGGGATTTCAGAATCCCCTTCGTCTCTCGGCTTTGACACGTCTCACCTGCTGTTGGAGCCAGCCCTGTGAAATCGGCTCTTTCTTCCCAAAAGGCAGCAGGAACCTGGGCCAACCCCAGCCTCCCCTGCACACACAGTGGGGCTTCGGTTTCTTGGGTTGAATGCCTGGGTCTCTCGGTGCTCTTGCTGAGAGCTGTGAAGTATAGGGCTCTATCGTGCTGGCTGGGGTCTGGCTGGAAGAGGAGAGTTTCAGGAAAGGATGAGTAACTGGGGTGTGCTCAGGGTTAAGGGGTGCTGTAGCATCCAGAGAGTAGCCATAGGAGGAAGCCGACACCAGCCCTAAGCAGTGTAGCCCAGGGAGAACTGGATTCTGGAAGAGCGCCCCCTAGTGGAAGCTGTCAGCCTGGGGCCCAGGCAAGGAAGGCTCTAACTTCTGTCTTCTCCTGCCTTTGATATTTTGCTGGTGTCTCCCCTTGGCCAAACCCATCCCAGTCAGCAAGGGAGCCTTGGTGATGAAGTTCATGTAGACCAGCCCTATATAAAACAAAGCAGGGCAGAGAAGGATGGAAAATGTATCTAGGGATCAATAGGGAACCACTTAGCATGACCATTCTTGGGCCTGTGGTGTAAACACTAGGGACCAACAAGGGCCACCTTGTGAGTGGGAGGGACCAGTCGGCTCCCTCACCCTCCCATCCCCATCTGAGCACCGTTCTTATTCTTATCTTTGCTAAATGACAGAGACAACCTGAGGTACCCCTAATTCCCAGCCACAGAGGCCATGGAGGGACCATCCAAACTTCCCTCTTAGCTCTGTCCTGTAACTCTCAGCAACACCAAATATGTTAGCCATGTATTCTACAACCAGTGGCAACTGCCCCACCAGGACCCAGCTCTGCCCCAGAATCCAGGACCAGACAAAGATGTTGGTCCTCCTCCTCCTCAAGGCTCTCGTAAACCCCACAGCACAGGAGAGCATGATGCACTAGAACTGTGCTTCTCAGATGGTTCTCTGACCTCCGAGAGCAAGGAAAGAAAGACTGTCCCTTAGTGTCCTACATCCCCTCAAGTGGGTTTCCTGGAAGCCAAACCCAATAAGATGCTCTAAGATCAAATGAGTTTGAGAAACCTGTATGTTAGTACATGAAAGACCGAGACGTCCTACAGTAAAGAAATCTGCTTGATTCTATTTATGACCACAAAGTCCTTTTTTAGTGAAACATCTGTTCTCCTCCCTTGAACCATTTTGAGAAAGACTTGTTGAACCAGGACCAGTGGGGTCATTGTCATCAGTGACTAGGGTATGGAGAGGACACACTACTCAGACATGGTAACCATAGTTTTCACCAAAAATGGGCCTGTATTAAGCAAGCAATTCCGGGTTAATGTTTTTCAGTGGGTTATTTTTTAAGGTTAGAATAACCTTTTCATTATATAACGTGCTAAATGTTGTTATTTCAGCCCTGCATTTCAGAACCAATGTCATGTCATCCTCTAACCCAGTGGTTCTCAACCTTCCTAATGCCACGACCCTTTAATACAGTTCCTCATGTTGTGGTGACCCCCAATTTCATTGATACAAATTGAACATAATTAAAGCATAGTGATTAATCACCAAGACAATATGTAATTATATATATGTTTTCCGATGGTCTTAGGCGACCCCAAAGGGGTCGCGACCCACAGGTTGAGACCGCTGCACCACATTCATTCTAGTACCTGTATGTCAAAGTTTGACATGTAAAAGTCATAACATTCCAAACAAGATTACCATAGCCTCACAGGGCAGGGTGGATTAAGGCATGGGGTCTGGCATCAGCCCACCAGAGCTCAAAACCAGGCTTCAACACTTCACAGCTAGGAGACCTGGAGAAGTCCCTGAACTTCTAGGACACAGTGTTCTCACCTCTAATACAGTGATGGTACTGGTACCTCCCTCAAGGGTTTATGCCGTGAGCATTAAATAAGTCGCACAAAGCCCTTGGTTCAGCACTTGGCTCAATAAGTATGTGTCGTTGACATCATCATCACTATCATTGTCCTGCCGGCACCGCCACCTTAGCTGTGAGTGCCTGTCTAGCCGGTGTCTGTGCCAACCCACAGAATCTCTCCTGGTGCCAGGAAAGCAGGGACACAGAGCAAAAGATGAACCTTCTGGCCTTTTGCTTTGTCTTGGGTCTGCAGAGCTGAGCTCAAGGCTGTGCCTCCTCCGCAGGTGTACCTGGCGGCAGGCACTGTGTACGGACTGGAAGGCCAGCTGAACGAGCTGGAGGATGCCGCCCGCTGCATCCACAGTGGCACTGATGAGACCGAGCTGGCAGATCTGGAGGACCAGGTGGCCACGGCTGCAGCCCAGGTCCACCATGCTGAGCTCCAGGTAAGGACGCTCCTCTCTGCCCAGATGGGAGATCGCTGAGCAAAAGAAGAGAGCACCCTATCTTCCACAGAATCATTTCGAAGTCCTTTTATCTCTCAGTTCCTGCATTTCCAGCTCAGTTGCATGGATATGATCCTTCAGGGTGGATTCCTTTTAAAGTGCAGCCTTCCTTTGCCCAAATTCTAGCCTTGATAATATATCAGATTTCTCTTTAAAACCTATGCCACTTAGGGTTAGGGTCTAGCAGGAAGAAATATTATTTATAGATGTTTGGGAAGGTTTTGTTGTAATAATTAGTTACTCCTGCTTCCAAATTTTCCTAGGCTTAAATTATTGGGGCCAAATTTTATGGCAGGAAATCCTGGAATCCAAAGTATCCTATGTTTGAATGTGCCTATTAATTTGTTATTCATGTCTGAATTTTACAATGTTATTAATAGCTAATGTCCAGTCTGCCTTACTCTGTGCCAAGGGTTGTACTAAGGATGCTGTCCACTGCATTATACAGGGTCACCATGTGGGCGCTCCTGGGGAAAGTCTCTCTTAACTCTTAGTGTCAGGAAAAGCGATTCTCCTGAGTGCTTGGTCTTTACCTTGTGGACATAGACGCCTACACTGATCTCTTTGCTTTGGCTCCCAGGAAACTTAGAACAGGAAACTCCTCTTCTACCAAGTTTAAGGGTTATTGGGCATGCAGTCTTAGGCGTAAAGTGGAATATAACTAGATGGATGGATAGATGGATAAAAGGATAGATGGATAATGGATAGATAGATAAATAGACAGACGGACAAGGCATAGGCAAAAATCAACCCTCAGTAGTCTCCTCTCTCTTTGTCCTTTGCCCTATGGACTAAAACTTGAAAAACTAACCCCTTATTATCCAGAACCTAGTAGTGAGCAAACAGGAGGCCAGCAATTTGCTCTCCCATTGAGCTGTCTCCCAGGGCCCTGTGAGCAAGGCCCTCTATCAAAACTTCCAGACAACATGATGGGCATCTAATCCACACCAGTTGCAAATGACTGATAAAGTTTAGCCTGCAACCTTTCTCAGAGGCTTGTGCAACTCATTGGGCTATAAACCAAAGCAATGCAGCTCTCAGTGAAACTTGAGGAGTCAGACAGGAAGGCCTCTGGGAGCCCGAGAGGGGCAGGGGCTGCACCGCGGCCCCTCCGGTGGGGGCTGCAGGACAGCTATACTTGCATTCTTTCACCAGCTGCCACAGGCTTGGCCTTCACTTACCTCCTCTTCTTTTTCTGACCAAGGCAGCCCCTCCTCGGGGCTAGAGGAAGCATCTCCCAAATTTGCTGACTTTTCAGTCCTCTCTGCACTTCTTATAGCACCTGTCCCAGGAGGCTTTGTCCAAAGAAGCCCTCAGGAAATGACAGTAGAATTAGAGTTTGTCTTGAGCAGCACAAACAAGTTGAGGGATGGGGAAGGCAATGGGGACCTCGAGGTGGAGCACACACATGGCTGCTGGGCCTACGTTCAGGTTACTTATTTCATGCCCCAGCACCACTCACTGTGCCATGTCAGCAGGTCAACCGTGATCCCCACCTCCTCCCTCAACTCTGCCAGTCTTCTCCTGCCCCTTCCACTGCCTCCCATGCCAGCCTTGGCAAGGCCTCTGAGAATGTGGCAAGAGCAGGAACACTGGCATCAATTCCAGTGTCTGCCCCAGGCCAGCTGTGAGATGGTGGGTGTAGTACTTATCCCTCTGAGCCATGGTTTCCTCATCTATAAAACCAAGGAACGGTTTCCTATGTCACTGGATTACGAATAAGTTCATGAATGAGGCACACTTAGCATAATGATGTGACAGCACATAATAATGCCATTTTCTAAGAGTAGGGACTGTGTCTTCTTTATCCTGGGGACAGGGATGGACCAGGTTCTTTCTGGCATTGAGTGGGCTCGTGCTCTCTATTTGCCTTAAGACACTGTTGGGAGGAAATCCGAGCTCCTTCCTACCTTCGATGTTATAGTCAAGGAAACGGATGCCCAGAGGGAGGACGGAGTTCCTCAATAGGAAAGATGGACTTGAGCCGGGAGTTGCTGGGGATCCCTCCTAGAGCTCAGAGCTGTGTCATGATGCCATGGAAAAATGAAGCCGGACTTTCAAAGCGCACATCACGTGTCACCTCCCACGGAAGCCTCCCCTGACCACCCACCCCAGATGGCCCTGGGCCAGGCGTCCCCAAGTGCCATGGGCTCCCATTTATCCCTAGGGGTGCTCTGACGTGGCTGACATGCTCTAGAGCAGGGGTCCTCAAACTTTTTAAACAGGGGGCCAGTTCACTGTCCCTCAGACCGTTGGAGGGCCGGACTATAGTTTAAAAAAAAAACTATGAACAAATTCCTATGCACACTGCACATATCTTATTTTGAAGTAAAAAAATAAAACGGGAACAAATACAATATTTGTATTTGCATGTGGCCCGCGGGCCGTAGTTTGAGGACCCCTGCTCTAGAGCCACCAACTAGAACTTTAAACTTACAAAGAATAGCCTGTGTTTTATTTTCTCACTATAGCAGATGTAGAAGTTGAATGAATAAATGAGCATATATCAAAGCAGATTTGTTCTTTTTTTAAATTCTTTTATTTAGAGAGAGAAAGGGGGGTGAGATGGAGAGAAACAACAATTGGCTGCCTCCTGCACACCCCCTACTGGGAATCAGACCTGCAACCTGGACATGTGCCCTGACTGGGGATTGAACTGGCGACCTCTCGGTGCATGGGCTGACACTCAATCAACTGAGCCACACCGGCCAGAGCAAAGCTGGTTTATTCTTTATCGATGTATAACACTTTTAACAAAGAGTCTCCCCACCTGTGCTTTCTTCCTACTGATTCTGTCTTTCTGCCACGTTAAGATTTCTGATATCGAGAGCCGGATCTCAGCCCTGACCATCGCCGGACTCAACATAGCACCGTGTGTGCACCTCACCAGGAAGCGGGAGCAGAAGCAGAGGAACCAGGTGCGTGTGTCCGCACTCGTTCTGTGGAAAACGTGGAAGGTAACGTTTTCGGGCTTTGAGAAGGTGTGTTGACTGCTGTGTTCTGTTTGTAGGTGCAAACAATAGACACATCCAGACAGCTGAGGAGGAAACTGCCTGCCCCACCCGTGAGAGGTGAGCTCGATGAAAACCACAAAGCAACCGAAGGACTAAGCGTGACTCTCACTCTGAGTAGCTCAGAAATCTGGGTTTGAGGAGCGGATCCAACGGCAGGTTCCCACCTGGAGTCGCTCTTGTGGAGGGTCTTTCTCAGCTTGGATCCCCAAGAAGCAGACCCTGGGACAAGGATATGAGTGCAAGTGGTTCATCTGGGAGGTGACTGCAGTACGCACTAGTAGGGGAAGAGAAATGACTCGGAGAAGAAAGCCCGCACAAGGCACTAAATACTGCTGGGAACTTCTGGGAGATGGTGCTGACTGCACCTCAGAGTTTCTTGCCCAAAGGGTATGAAGACGAGGTATTTCAACTCCCACCTATCACTGGCTGAAGTTACTCCTGCAGGGCATTAGCTTCCTGGTACTTCTGACCTGCCTCGTGCATGGGCAACGGAGAGTGGCAGCACTTGCAGAGGATGTGTCAGAAGGTGCTGGAATATGACTGTCAGGGAGACGTGGGCAGGGCACCCAAAGCATCTAACCTGGAAGGGAATCTAGCGATGCCAGGTGTATCACCCTTATCCTGGACATTTTCAACAAGTTCTCTGGATTCAGGAGCCACACGATGACGATGATGATGCCAACGCAGAAATCTTAGGTCTACAAATTAGAACAATAGGAAGTCAGCAGATATATGTTGAAGTCTTGGTTCCACCATTCATTGTTAGATGGTTATTGAATGCCTACTTTATGGTCCACCAAAACTTCTACAATTAAAATTTATTATAGATCCATGACACCTTGTTTGAAAGCCTTAGGTCAATATGTGTTTCAGAATTTCTTGGACATTAGGGGAGAGGGGTTTGGAAGGCAGGATGGAGAAGGTAAAGGCATTAAGCAATTCAAATTAATAGGTACAGAGTGGTCACAGAGATGTAGACCACAGCCTAGGGAATATAGTCAATAATATCGTGATAACTATGTGTGGGGCCAGGTGGGTGCTTGCAGCATCAGGAGAACTCTGTAAAGTACATGATTTTCTAACTACCATGCTGTACATCTGAAACTAATACAGAATGATATTGAGTGTAAACTGTAATTGGGAAAAAAGGTAATATGATATATATACTGTATAATTTATAACAGCCTTCCCACCCCCACACCCCCAGCTATGGTGTCATTAATATCCTGGCAAGAAGGCGTGAGAATGTTCACACTCAATGGGGTGGACAAGGACTTTAAAGGGCCGCATGGCCATTCAAGTTACATTTTGCCATCAGACAATTTTGGCTCCAAAGTTATAAATACATGCACTTTTTAGAGCATTTTATATTTCCAAATGGCAAATAAGAATTTATGAACTATATTAGATGATCTCTAACCTACCTTTTCCCAGAAAGCTACTAATGATACCCTATTTGGTAAAGCCCCAGTCAGACCCGCGGACCAGAATGAGATTCCAGGTCCAGAACACAAGCCTGGGCAATCCGGACACCTGGTCTTTCTTCCTTAACAGTCGGTCCAGCTCTGGGTGACATTCCCATTTGTTTCCTTTCAGCTGAAAAAATGGCGGTATCTTCAGTGACCAACTCAAAAACATTCAACCGCAACTTCATTCTCCAAGGCTCCTCGACAAACAGGAAAAGCACCGCCAAGGACTTGATGGTAAATGTCGTCTCTGTCCTAACGCCCGTCTCTCTCACTGGAGGTGGCACCTCCATTCTGTAGCCCTTCTGTCTGTGGCTTCCCTGCTTGAGCCCCAAGACCCATCCTTTCTGCATGGTCTCGTGGCCTGTCGGTGGGGGTGATGGGGAGCTAAGAGACTCGACGAACACCCTGCCGGGCATTGCCAACCTCTTTGATATATGGACACAGCCCCTCAACTGCATAACCACCTCCTTGTAGGAACCAATTTTGATAGAAGAGAAATGAAAATGTGGACACATGAACGTAAGGTCGGGTTGAGGTGCAGTGCAGGAGTTTTTATGCTGTTTTTGAACCATACTCACTCTTCCTTAAATTTCCCATTAGCCACTTGTGGTCCTGAAAAAAGGCAGCAACTGCCCCTAAATGAGGCAAAGAAAGGGGCAGAAGATAATTTGCACAAACCCTGGAGGTCATATAGAGGTCGGGGAATCATAGATTATTTGCCTAAACACCCACACTTGCTTCGGAATTTTGGCAAATGCTCGATGCTACTTATAAGGGATGTGACGACCCAGCTAAACTGCCTCAGTGGTACCATTATGCTACGGGCAGACATTGTCTGAGTGATAAGACCAAAGCAAGGACAAGTATAACCTTTGGCCTTTTATGCATCACCAGTCACGCCCTTCCCCGTCCTCTTCCTCATCTCCTGTCTCCTGAGTGCACTGGTAACGGTAACGGTAACAGCGCGATGCTGGCCGTGCCATTTAGAATTACAACCACTGCACCTATGAGGCACCACGTGGCCGGGGCAGCCCATCCATTGCCTTTCCTTCGGGGGCCAGCCATTACCCTGACCTTTCAAAGTCCAATTACCTTGCTCCTGGCCATTTCTTCAAAGAGCTAAAAGATTCATTATTACACTAAAAGGGCAGACCACTAGGGCTGGGGAAGGAACCTGTTATAAATCAGGTGGTTAAAAATAAATTACCTTTCGTGGAGCTAGAACATAGATCGGTGGTTGCCAGGGACTGCGGGGACGGGGAATAGGAAGCAATTGCTCAGGAGGTGAGAGGTTTTACTTTACAGCGAGGGGAAGCTTTTGAAACCACACAGAGGTGGTGGCGGCACACACTGTGAACATACTAAACGCCACTGATTTGTTCATTCCCAAAGGGTTAATTTATGTGAATTTCACCTTGATAAATTATTTATTTATTTATTTATTTATTTATTTATTTATTTTAAATATATTTTATTGATTTTTTTTTACAGAGAGGAAGGGAGAGGGATAGAGGGTTAGAAACATCAATGAGAGAGAAACACCGATCAGCTGCCTCCCGCCCTACTGGGGATGTGCCCGCAACCAAGGTACATGCCCTTGACCGGAATCGAACCTGGGACCCTTGAGTCCACAGGCCGACGCTCTATCCACTGAGCCAAACCAGTCAAGGCAATAAATTATTTTTTTAAAATAAATTACCTTTAAATAACAGAGAGGTTAAAAATGAAAACATGGCCAAACCGGTTTGGCTCAGTGGATAGAGCGTCTGCCTGCGGACTGAAGGGTCCCAGGTTCAATTCTAGTCAAGGGCATGTACCTTGGTTGCGGGCACATCCCCAGTGGGGGGTGTGCAGGAGGCAGCTGATCGATGTATCTCTCTCATCGATGTATCTCTCTCATCGATGTTTTTGACTATCCCTCTCCCTTCCTCTCTGTAAAAAAATCAATAAAATATATATTTTAAATAAAAATAAAAAAATAAAATGAAAACATGGACAATATTTACTAAAGAAATGCAAACAAAAATGGAAATACTACGTTCAAGCAAAGTAGAATTTAAGACAAGAAGCATTTGCAGAGAAAAAACAAAGAGGGAAGGTGTTTTAATTTTAGTGAAATAAAGTCGATAACTCATGAGCCTTCCTTGCTTTGGCAAACAATAGAGCAAAACAATTTATTATGCCATGGTTGGTGACTTTAAAATTCCCGTAATTAAGATATTTATTTAACTGTATACTTTACAGAAGGTTCACTTTCTTTCCAACCATCGATGGGCCATTTATAAAAACTGATTTTATACCAGCTACAAAGAAAATCTCAATAAATTCCAAAAAGTAGACAGTATAAAACTACCTTCTGTGACACCGATGACAAAAATAACCTAGAACAGTACACTGTTGAATAGAACTTTCTAAAATAATGGAAAGGCCACATGTGGTAGCCACATGTGGCTACTGAGCACTTCAAATATGGCCACTGCCTTGGAAGGACTGATCTTTACATTTTCATTTAATTTTAACCTAAATGTAAACAGCCACAAGTAGCTAGTGGCTACCATATTGGACAGGGCAAATCTAGAAAATTAGAACAAAAGTAAAAGTAAACAAAAACCCTATTCTGATTTATACAGCATACACAACTGTACATTTATACAAACATGCACATGTGCACACTCTGACACACACATTTCCAAGGAACTATGAACTAAAGAGAAAAGTAAATCCACAGAGCACTTAGAACTTGAAAACATTACATATATTGAAACAAATGGGGTCTGTATAAAACTATACTAGTCATATTTATAATATTAAATGTTTTTTTGTTATTAAAGAAGCAAAACTAATGAAATAGACATTGAATTCTAGACATCAAAGATAAATTAAAACCAGAGAACTATAGAAATTTATGATAATTGAAGAGTTTGTGCTTTAGAAAAATATAAAATAGAATTTCTTTGTAAACCAAATCAAGAAAAAAATAAATAAAATAAAAACATAAGACTATAAAAGAGATGTAAATTTTTAAATTTAAATATATAAATGTGATATAAATCGATGCTAATAAGTTTTAAAGTCATAATTCTAATAAAATCAGAATATTCGTGAAAAATAATTAAATAAAATTTTTAAATTGATTAAACCTTCAGAAAAAGATTCTCTGGCTAAGTGATTTAGCTGATAAATTTTGAAGGAACAGTTAATTCCCATGCAATATAAAATGTTTCAGAGCAAAAAAAATTAGAAACTAAAAGATATGTTGTAAAGCTACTATAACCTCGAGTACCAAAGCCTAACATGGCTGGTAAGTGTGTACACATGCTCCATGTTCACACACACACACACACACACACACACAGATTCACATAGACATATATACAGAGATATACACAAACCACACACTAATTGTATTTCTTCAGAGAAATGATGCATACTAAATAAAATATTAACAAATTAGACACAGAAGAACATTAAATAATAAATTACCAGATAATTTTACAGGAATGCAAGGATACCTTTAATATTGAGATACTGATAAGTCACATCAATAATTCAATAAGAAAAGTCATTTCTCCTATTAATTTATAGTTTAATCCAGTTCTCATAAAAAGCTCAGTGGGACTTTTTTAAGGTTTATGTAGGAATAAATCAGAAAAAATAGACAAAAGCATTTTGCAAAGTTAAAGTGATTTTCCTGCCAGATTTTCAAACAAATTAAAAGCTGTAAAGCAGCGATTTTCAACCTTTTTCATCTCTGGGCACACATAAACTAATGACTCAAATTCTGCGGCACACCAAAATTACATATTTTTTGCCAATCAGACCAAAAAATAGGTATAATTTTGATTCATTCACACTGGATGGCTATTGTTGTGTTGGCTGTTATCATTTTTTTTATTTGACAATCGAAGGGAAGGGCGGGATTGCATGTTTTAAAAATCCTTGCTGCATAATGGTAGAAAATTGCTTCTATAGAGGAATTAGTAAATTGCTTCTATAGAGGAATTAGTGATGAATGGAATAAATGAGAAAGCTCAGATACAGTACAGGCACATAGAAAATGTGTTATGTGAATTTTTTAAAGCATTAGGAACTAGGAGGGAAAGTATAGATTTTCTTTTTTTAATGTGCTTGGGAGATTGGCCAAGGGGGTGGTAGTGTGAAGGGCACCAACTTGCCTTAGTAGTCCATATACCCAAATAAATTTCAGGTGGATTAAAATGCACATGGTAAACATACATCACTTTTTAAATATTGTGAACAATGTAACTGGTCAATGAGCATGAATACCTTCTATGACATAAAAAAGCAGCAGCCGTTTTCCATGCCTCTCCTCACTTCTGCCACGTGGCTGACCGTGTGCTCACTGTCTCGCCTCAGGAGCCCACCCTGGAATCCGCTGTGATGTATTAGCGCCACGGAGCTCCACTGCCAGTGACCCACTGCCTCCGGCGTACACGACAGTGCCTTGACCCAACAGCCATTGAATACTATATGGATCTCCACCTGAGGAGAGGGCCTGGGGAGCCACGGTGCACAGGGCTGTCCTGATACCTCACCCAGAGAGCGGCCCCAGACATCGGCATGGCGGTCTCGCCCGCTCTCTGCCTTAGGCTCCCAGGAGAAGCCAGGACAGAAAACCGAGATGCTGGCTTCCAACAGTAGAGTTCCACGTCCAAAAATGCATCATGTCCCTGTCTGCTTTGCTACTGTATGTTGTCTTTGTGATCTTCTTTTTTTTTAATCCTTTTGCTTCAACTAAAATGACATATCAACAATTTGTCCAAAGAAAAATGGTTGGGTGGGGGTGGGGGTGGGGGTGGGGGTGGAGGGAAGGGAGATGGGTATTTTCATTTAATTCATCATCAGTTCTTACTAATCTCTCACAAGCATCTTATCTTGCAAATGCTAAGGGAAAAGATGAAAATGCCCCTGTGTGAGCACTAGGGACTGTCACAGTTGGAGAGTGCTCGCCCATCAAGGATGCAGGTCTCCCTTTAGCCACTTCCTTCCTGCTAGGCCCCCAGCCCACCGCACCACCCGTCATTCTCATTGCTTTGCGATCACCAGCCACAAAATAGAAAGCTCTGCCTCACCCATTGCCACGCCCAGGCCCATTTGAAACTATGGCTCATTGAGAATTTAGGTTCTTCCTTGGACTTCCTGAGACTTTCCCCACTCTGGAGTGGAGAGGGGCTTGAGAAAGCCCATCACTGGCTTAACTTTAGGGCACTGTCCAGAACCAACGTGACGTGGGTCAGCGATGACCACCTCTAAATGAGGTGTCGCTCAATGCATTGTCGCAGACTATAGCCACATGAGAAAACGTTGTCCTCCAAAATTCACTTCCCAATAAATATTCAGCCAAAGTAGTAAAATGACCATAAAGACAAAAATAGTTAAGGAATAGCCAGAAAACTTTCAGGACAAACTGTGAATTTAATGGACACAGAGTTGATACTAACTCTGTTTCAGGTCTCAAATGCATGACTATGTAGACTGTGTTTATAAAAGCAAATGGAACTGGAATTTCACTCAATCGATCATTCTGCTAATATATTCTGAATCTAAGGAAGAAGGCAAAGATGGGAGGCAAGGGAATAGTATGACTGATGTTTATTATCCTTCTCATTTTAATCCTTAGAGCAACCCTATTCAAAAAGTATCGCCATTTTTTTTTATATCCGGAGACTGAGGGCCATAGACATTAATTTGCAAAGTCACACCTGGAAGCTAAGTATAGTTAGAATGCCTCACGCCCGAAGAGCCTCCCTCCGTCTCTGTGTTGTTTCCAACGGCTACGCTCTTTTGCTGGTCGGCACATTCCCAGACCTGACTTGCTGCTGAAATGTGTGCTGTGGTGCATTCCTGACGGGGGTCTATCTATCTTCCAATAATTATTCTTGCTGATGCTGTGTGTGTCTTCTCCAACAGAAATAATGCCTTGGAAATAAAGTCAATCTTTGGTCTTTTGCTCTGTTGGTATGGTTCAAAGCAAACATATTCAAATTTGAACAACACAACAGAAAAGATCTGGTTCCAAATAGAACGTTTTCTTCAGGAGGCATGAAAAGCAGCTATTGTTGTGTTACAGTGTTAAAATATTCAGTTTTCCTTGACGAAAATGTGTACTGTGTGAGCCTTGCAAAAAAAAAAAAAGAAGAAGAAGAAGAAGAAGCCTGCTCTATGGCATTTGAATTTTTATAAAGGTTTCCTTGTGCCAAAAAAAAGTGCAAAGATTTAATTTACTATTAAAAACCATAAGTATATGTTATAGTTCCAGAAGAATTATTTTGTCATCAAGTGATTTTGATCTTCAGTGTCAATATTTATATTTAGATTAATTTTTATAAATGAAAATATTTTAATGGTTTGAGAAAATAAGGATGACAGGACCATTTCTGTGATGGCCTCTGAAAGTTATGCTTGCCTTCATGTTATATGCACATTGCCGAGAATTACTGTCAGGAGAAATGATAAAGAAGTAAAAGTCATTGATGAAAATAATGTTGGTAGGAATGTGATTGTTGTTGGTTTGTTTTTTGGTTAGGAAAGGCTGGGAGAGAAGAGGGGCTAGGGAAAGAAGTCAGTGGTTAGTCACCAGAGGGGCCAACATGCAAAGTCACGGTTGCCTCGTACCCCAGTCCTTCCAGTCACCTCTCCATGCTTGTTCTCCTGAGAACAGAATTCCCAGCAATCACCTCTACTGAGTGACACCCAGGTAAGACCAGCAATTCTCCAAGCAGGGATCGGAGTGAGAGGATAGGCGTGGTAGTGTGATTTTGCCTCTTAGGGGACATTTTTGATCGCCATATCATGGAGTGGTCATACAGTCGCTAGTGGCCAGGGAGGCTCCTACACATCCTACAATGCACAGGACAGTCCCCCACAACAAAGATCATCCAACTCAAAATGTCAGGAGTACTAAGGCTGAGAACTTGGGTTAGACCCTGGCGGTAAGCCTGGGCATCCGTGGAGAAGCCCCTGCCAGTCTCTGCAGGGACTCTGTAGCTGAGCGGGAAGCAGGTCAGGAACTCCCCTGGAGTCCTGCACAAGCTCAGGGCAGTTGTTGCTCCTCTGTGTCTGGCCCGTCCAGAACGCTGAAGCCAGACACTGTCCCCCGCCATCCCCACGTAGGAATAGGAACCCTCCACTAACCTGAAATGAACGTGTGAATGAAAACACTATAAAAGCCAAGAGCCTTCTCTGCCTGGTGGGTTAAAGCAGTCCATAGAGCCCTGACCGGTTTGGCTCAGTGGGGTCACAGGTCCCTTCCTCATGGTGTTGTGAAAGGTTGAATGAAATAGCACATGAGAAACCCCCCAGCAGAATGTTTGGTAACTACAGATACTCGACGCTTGTGTCCTCCTTTTCTCTTAGGATAAGAAAATCACAAGTATCAGCACCATGACTTATGATGCAAATTGCTGTGCCTCAATTTTTCTATTGTTAGTAGACAAGGTTATTGTTCTTCCAATATTCACTCCCTCTAACCCCCTAATTCTGGGAGGAGTGCACTACCCCGCCCCACTAAAGTTGGGCTTGGCCATGCCACTTGCCTTTATGCTTGGTAGAGCATACTTCTTTGTCTTAGTCTGTTCAGGCTGCTGTAACAAAATACCAGAGACTGGGCAGTTTATAAACAACAGAAATTTATTTCTCCCAGTTCTTAAGTCCAAGATTAGGGTGCTGGTTGGAATCCGGTAAAACCTGTCACAGACTTCGGACCTACCCCGTTTCCTCGCATGGTGGAAGACCTCAAGGGATCCCTCTGGGGCCTCTTTTAATAGGACACTTACCCCAAGCACGAGGGAGGGGCCCTCACGACCTAGCACCTCCCAAAGGCCTCACCTCCCAATATCATCACCTTAGGGATTAGGTTTCAACATATGAATTATGGAGGGACACAAACCTTCAGACCATAGTCTTCTCCAACCCTTGGTTTGGACTTGGCCGTGTGACTTGCTTTAGCTAATGAGATGTGAGAAGAAGAGGGACATGAGGGGCTTGAAATACGTTGATGGAGTTGGGTTTGTCCACTTACATGTTGCCCTTCACCATGAGAACATGCCATAGGGAGCCCACGGGTCCAAGGAACAGACCCAGGGAGCCCACGGGTCCAAGGAACAGACAGAGAGCCCAGCTGAGATGGCAGAGCCACCTCGGCCAACCTGTAGACACGAGCGAGAATAAATCACTGCTTTATGAAACCATCGAAATTTGGGGTGGTTTGTTATGCAGCAATACTACCTGCAAAGTTCGTCTTACCGCTTTAGTTTAGTCCTTGTGTTAGAGATGAAATGCAGATGAGTATCCAAAGTAAGCCCACGTGTCAGTATCAAGGGTGCATATAAACAAACATTGAGCTACTTATTTTTGATGTTTCATAATTTACATATGAAACTTTGGTTACATTTTGAGGAGGGCATCTATCTATTTCAATGTGTGCTTTTGTTGATCTTCCACAAAGGTTCCTCTATTCATTGAAATTTTTGATAAAACTTTCAAGTACAGGAGCCATTTGGTATAGTCCTTTAAAAATAACTTCTCGCATGACGGCCGCTCTATTTTCTCCCAGAAGTATTTCCCATACAAAATTTGCATCTGACAGAACAGTTGGTTGCGTGAGCCTTCTGTTTCTGCAACCGAGTTATAATGATGATAAAATGCAGGTAAGTAGAGTTGCATTTTAAAGAGCTTTCTAAGGACTGGAAGACTTTAATGCCCACTTCAAACACTGGAAACCTCAAAGATGGATCCAGTTTGTTGGAATCAAGTCCTAAAATATAGAAAAATTTGTTTTGTATCAAAGCTATCACGTTTGATCAAGATGAAAGATTTAAGGCCATGCCTCTCAAACTTTAATGTGCAAATTCCTATTCAGCAGGGCTGGGATGGGGCCCAGGATGTGGCATTTCTGACAAGCTCCCGGCTGATCCCAGTGCTGCTGGCCACACGGTGAGCAGAGAGGTTCAGTGCGGTCCCTCTGCAAGTCCCCTGCAGGATTGAGGCCCGGTTACCCACAGTGCTAACCTACCTGTTCACTGGTGCCACCTTTGTGGCATGTCCTCCCTTCATTGTCTCACGTCCCCCTCCTCGACATTTGTCCTGGGGTCACAGTCTGCTCTGGGGAGACCCCCGCTGAGCCATCCGCTGCAGTGCACTCACCTGTCACATGTCCTTCTCCCACACTGACCTGAAAGCTCCCTGAAGACAGAGTTCCATGTGTCCCGCACAGAGCCTGGAACTGAGCAGGTGCTTAAAACAAAGTTGGTTCACCTGGATGGCCATGGTGATCTGGCTCTAGGCTGTGGTTATGTCAAGCCAGTCTAGGAAGGGAGACAAGACACAGAATTAATCATGTTGGCATCCCCTTCAGAGAAGGATACACGGTCAGACCTGGGCAGAGTCGTATTGCCCAGAGACAGGCGGAGGTGGCGGTCAAAGGTCTGTATTGAAGATCTCAAATCCACATCTCGGGCTTGTCCTGCTGCCTTTCATGGTGTCTCATGTCTCCTTCAAGTGCCTTTTTGTTCCTTTATGTTACTGGGATGATTCACTTGGGGTTTGAAAAATCTCCCTGCTATGAAAGGTACTGTATTCCCTTCGATCTTGAGAATCTCTATTACACCTTGAGGCTCTTCACCATGTGGGAGGGAGGGGGAATCAGAACCCCCCGGGTGCTTTTTAAGAACGCACGTCAGCCCGTTCCCCTTCCCAACCCCTAAGAGTTCACACTATCCTGCTTCCTAACCAGGACCCTACCCAGGCCCAAGGCAATAGTGAGGCTGCA